TATATATATATTGCACCTACTTTTTACTTTTAATTTCCATTTAGTTGTTTTATTTTGACAGTTTTTCATCTTAATGGGTCTGTTTTTGTTTTTCTTGCTCTAGTGTGATTGCTCGTGTCAAAAGTGTTGAAATAAGAAATGGACATGTATTGTTTTGTTGTTTTTAAATTTCAGCTTTTAGTTGTTGCCATCCATGTTTTTGGATTCACAAGAGACCAAATTTGTATGAGAAGGAGAAGTAGCAGGATGATACTTGAAGCTTGGTTTAATTAGATTAAAAATGTATCTGTGTCCCCTCAAAGTATTAGAAGAGGAGTTGTGTAGAGAGGTTTTAAACAGCTAATATCTAACCTGTTGTAGCTCTAATTGCTAGTTGATAGCTCTTGGACCAATTTCAATTTGGGGAAACAGTTTTTAAAGCAGTTCATTTAAACATGCCAATGTTACCATTACATTTTTAATCATATTGTATTGTATAGTTGTTTTCTTAATAACAGCAGGTAGCTGTAGCACTTCTTGCGGTGGTCCTTCTGCCAGAATAATGTGAAACTGACAATGATGTGAAGTTTAATCATATCAGACTTGGTCCTTACTGCTGTTTCCTCCTGCTACATGTATTTATTTTGTGGTTTGTGTCTTTTCTTAGTCTGCAAATATTTTTACAGCAATCTCAGTAGCTATGTTTACATGCACAAAATTYTTTGATCAGAATGAAATGTATTCTTTTTAAACAATCCGAATTTATCGTTTACTCAGGCACAATCCGATCATGACGAGTGTTTACATGCACCAGGCTTTTTGTTCAGAATAGAAGCACTGGCATGTGCAGAGTTGTTGACTTTKTTTATGTTCATCACTTCCATTATGAACATAAACAAGCGTCTTCTGAGCGCCCAGAATGGACCTGAGACAGGTTTTAATAACARTGGAGACGTTACTGCACTCCCTGGTTGAACTACAGGTGACGTGCAAATTATTATTATTTTTTTGTTGTTTTTTGTTTTTTTGGGCGAAGCAGCACATGCTGTGTGTCTTCTTTCTTTACTGAATGAGAGAACAGGAGGAAAAGTTCTGTGCTGCTGGAAACTACAGTACTGCTGTTCCTCCCTCCACAAAAGTGCAGGAACCAATGGCTGAAAGTCAGAAGTCATGCTCAGTCAGGTCACTTTTCCACAATCAGAATAAGATGATCATATTAAGTGTTTACATGCACRSTGTTTGGATTATCARTCAGCACAAACCACCCCTCTCATTCAGATTGCAAATTCATTCGGATCAAGCTGAATCRGATCAGAATACTGAATAGCCGTTAAATCMGATTACTTATGTCCATGTAAACGTAGCTAGTGATCTTGTGCTTGTTGGAGCAACTCCATATGTTTCTGCACTTTTCACTTTTTCTTTTTAAACTCATAATTTTCTATACAAATGATGCAAAAATCATTTGTTTTAAAATTCTGCTTTTGTTTTCTTGGACTACACAACTTATCCTAATATAACATGTAAAAATCACATTTTATTGCATTTTAACTCACCTCTTTGTAACATGTGAATGCATCATTGCATGTTTACATAGTTTGACTGAAAATATCATTGGTTGTAYTTCTTAAAATATTCCCRTATTCTGCCATTTTATRTAGGGRTTTTCTGCTGATAYRAGCCAAAGATTTATTATTRTTGTTGTTGTTGTTGTTGTTGTTGTTGTTGTTGTTGTTGTTGTTAGCCCAGTTTGCATCAGAAAGAGCATCCATTCTAAAACA